TCCTCCTCGTCTCAGCCCTCGCTCGCCGCTCCGCGCCGCCGGCAGCAGCAGCGCTGGCCACCTGCCTCACCCATGCGCTTGCCCGGGCCAAAAGCAGGGCAGAAGGAAGAGAATTTAAATGAAGCCAGGCAGGCGTACCTGCACTTTCTTTCCCAGAGCATTGCGAGGAAAGGGAAACCGGCATGAGGGGAGGTGGGGCCAAGGCTCAGACAAGAGAGAGACTGAGGCGGGGGTGAAATAAATTCACTCTTGATTTACTGATACAGTGGCCCTAGGAAGCATTTAATTGATCTGGCAGAGTATCGGTGTGCCAGTGGCAAGTGGCAATGATTATAAGCTGTACTGTAAGGGCATGAGTGCTAACATACACATCCTGGCAAAAAAAAAATCCCTCAGACAAAGCTCGTTTGAATATTAAATGCGTGCACTAAATAATTCTATCAAAGACATGAAAGCACATGGAGTAATATTGCTCAGGCAATTCAAGTATGGCAAAATATGTTTACATTTGGGGCAGTAAATGGCCTTCTCAGATAATGGAGATGTTCTTAATGGCAGCTCTCCAGCCAAAGAAAAAAATGCCTTACCTTCTTCCTACTATATTCATTTTTTTTTCCCTTGTAGGGCATGAAGATTACGTGAAGGAAGAGTTAGGAAGTGTAAAAGAAAGATTCTATAAAGCAATGGTGATTTATTATTGACCGGTAATGACCAGTTTTTAGATTATGGATGAAAACACCCACTTCTCAATGAAGTTTAAATCTCTCATAACTGAGGTTAGGAAATATTCAATTTACTTAGCTAGGATTCACTGATCTGCCATTTTCACGTTCCCTTTTAATTCCCATAAAGCACATATATTTCACCTCTGTTTATAATTTATTCTTAGTATTGTGTCTACATTCATCAGTAAAGCTGAGTAATTGTCCAAATGAGGTGCAAAGAGATGAAGACTACAGTTTCTCTTGAACATAGGTATACCAATCAGCTCCTCTTCACTGTAGCCTCTCGGGAATTGTATAAAGGTTCTTATTCAACGTCAGTGTTGGATCAAAATTTTTTCTGCCCGGAATGTAGTCCAAGAAGAAAGTGCAAGACTGACTGTGCACCAGAAGAGGTCTCACTTGTTCCACCCCACTGTACATGGCAAAATTATAGAACCTCAAATATACAGGGACTAGAGTTGTCTGTACATGAGTTGTCTGTAGAATGGAGTGGGTAGGACACCCAGAGACACCATGACTTAGTGACAAAATTTGTGCAAATTAATTTCTGGTTGTGACTTGAGCAGCTGGTTAAAATTATGCATATATAAATGCCTCTTGTTTGAGTTCTGAATGTATTTATTTTATGAAAGGAGGAAAAAAGCTTGCATTGATAGCAAAATTAAACTTGAGTAAGTAAATATGATTATCTGCAACTGCTTTTCCATGGCTATATAAAGGAGACAAAACTAAACAGGTAGAAAAAAATAATACTGATTTAAATAGCATGCACCTTAGAAGATGTGCGGCATGGTAACTTTGTCCAGCTATAAAGGTAGTCGTATCAAATGATAAAGCTTTTGGGGTTCATAGTTAAAAGAAAGAAAAATACTCAAATCAAAAACAAGAGCTCACAACACTCATGACCATAGCTTCCCCCTATCCCACACCCCCCTCAAATAATGCTTAGAACTTTTTTCTACCTTTGAAGTTCAGGAAAGAGTTTCTTGGGAAAGTACCATAATCATAATTACCTTGTCTCTTTCACATCCACTTTGCATTTGGTATCTGCTATAAAACAAAATGTTCAGCCTGTGTGCTTGGCACAAAGAAGACAGAGGAGTCATAGCATGCTGCCCTTCTTTTCAACAAGTAGAGTAATAACTCTCTGAAGATGCTAGAGAGCTAAACACAATGAAGAAACATAACAGATAGCTTTAATAAACTAAAAATAGCGAGCCCGATGTATCTTCTAGCTTCCACAGAACTTCCTCTCTTTGAGATGAGCTCTATCATTGCCTTCTTCTGCAAATAGTACCTTAGGGATGAGAGTTGTTATATGCTGCAGTGTTTAACACACACCAACACTTATTCACATGCCTGTTTTCCTTGGCTTTGTACCTCACCTAATCATGTGTATTTGCACAAAGTGTGTGCAAGAATGTGAACTTCTGTCAGTGGCAGTGAGGAAGCTCTGATGGACAGGATATTATCTTGAGATAGGAGCTTCACTTCCACCACAAAATCCTTGGGTGTCTTTGGGTAGACCGTTTAAACTGCTTGTCCCTAAGGCCAAGCCTTAATTAGTTTTATTTTTAATGTACATTTCTTACCTATAAGCAATACTGGAAGGATTTTGAGGCTATTAACTGTAAATATGAGAAAACGGAAGCAAGGAGATTTCTTCGTATTCCCAGCACACCCCCACTTCCCTATCCCCATTTTTGGTAAACATAGATGGTGAATATTTCGAAAGAAGGAAGCAGGAAGTTCTGAAAAGCTTATTTTTTTCCTCCAAGATTCTGACCATAATGATTAAAAACAGTAGTGAAATATTAGGAATATGATGGTGGGGGGTGGGGGTTGTGTGGTTTGGGGAACTTTTTATCACTTCAGTGAAAAAGTCAGAGTTTGAATCTCATATTTCTGTTGGAAAAAGCAAATGTGCAGATCAGATCAGCTTCTACAATCTGAGGCCTATTAGGAGGTGCAAAGATGCATCAATCCCACTGGAATTTAAGACCTGCTTTGCTAGATTTAAAAGACAGAGCTGCCACTTTCATATTAAAAGATTTTGTCCTTGAAGCATGCTCACTGCACCATCAGTATTCACCTCTAGTTCTTAGTCTCTTGCAAAGGAGCACCTTGGGTACCACGGGAGAGCAAAGCAAATAGAAGACAAATTCCATTGCTTCCTGCAACACAGAGAGATTTCTATTCTTAAACCTATTGTTCATGGTAAGCATCTTTTTGAATTCCTGCAGTCTAGCATGACAATAATTCTACACTTAGAAAGCTCTGATACAGTAAAATTTAATTCCTCTGGAAATGCTGGAGAAAGTTTCTGAAAAACACATTAACATCCAAACCACCCTTAGTACATCAGCAATGTCTAGCATTTTCAACCTGAGAGCAAAATGAAACAAAAAGGTATTATAAGCAAAGCCCAGCACTAATCTCCTATCCTGCCCAAATAACAGTTCCTTTATTAAATAAGAGATGCTGTGTAAATGAAAGACAGAAAGGACAGGACCAGTAAATGAGAGATGTATTGGTCAGCATGGTAGAAAACCTCCTCTGTGTGGCCACTGCCTACCTGTGGAGAAACAGCAGGCAGAAGAGTTTTCCCATATTTATCACACCTGTTTTTCCCATGTACATCATAGAGCAGAATCATAAAATCCTGGAATAGTTTGGGTTGGAAGAAAAGTACAGCATCCCTGCAATAAGCAGGGACATCTTGAAGTAAACCTCGTCAGAGTCAGTCCAACCTGCCTTCAAGTGTTTCCAGAGATTTGGATTCAGCCACCTCTCTGGCAGCCCCCTCATTCTAAAAACCTTCTTCCTTATATCTTATACAGATCAATCTCTTTCAGTTTAAAAACCACAGCCCCTTTTCCATGACAAGAAGTCATGGAAGCCTGTCCCATCTTTCCTATGGGCACCTGCAAGTATGGGAGTCTGCTGAGAGTCTCTCCAAAGCCTGCTCTTCTTCAGGCTGAATAACAACAACCCTCTCAGCCTTTCCTCACAGGAGAGGTGCTCTGATAGCCTACTGATACCTTTGTG